TGGCTACTTGAGAAATATAGGGGACAGGACTAGAAGGGAGAGTCAGGAGGAAGCTCTTACAGTAACAGGTTGTATTTTGCAGATAAATGCTTACTTACAAGACTCGTTGAAATACAAAAATAAGCCTCATTTGATACTTTACAGCCCTGCAATGGCTGCTTAGGTCTTTCTGTGACTCCCATTAGTATGAGCCTGTGCTTTTGCTATAACTGATAAGCCAGGTTTTAAGGCTTGAAATGTATACAGGGGAAATGAGAGAAACAAGTTTGGAAGGAATGTCCACAGTTCTGTCCAGGTATGTGTCATAACTGTAACACTCAGATTTATGAGACTTTAATAGTACTTGGTGGAGGGCCAGCCAGATACCTCAGCAGACTAAGCACCTGCTTAGACACAGGGACCAGGGTTCTATCCCTGGCATGCTGTGCTACCCCCGCCCCTGGGGTGCACTGAACCATGATTGAGACTGGGCATAGTGGGTGTGCATGCCTGTAATCCCAGCGCTTGGGGAGGCTGAAAACAGGAGGATCACTACGAGTCCAATCTGTGTAGTGAGACCCTGTAAACTCTGTGCTAAATACATTAAAATAAACAAATAGTACCTGATGGAAATTATTCGGAACCATTATTTTGGTGACAATAATGCCAATGTAGTACAAAAATACTTCCACACTGCTTTACATAGCAGACATGAATCTCCTTCCTCCCTCAACTTCTACATATCATAATTATTAGTGAATTAGCAAAGTTTGGGTAGCCAGGAGGGGTTTCTTATCAGGGTTTCTCAGCTTGGTGCTACTTACTACATACCAGTAACATGGCCTCCCAGTTGTAAAAACCAAAAATGTCTCTAGATATCACCAAATATCTGTGGGTGCCAAAATCATTTCTATTTATTTGAGAACCACTATCTTACACAAAGCAAAGAACTTTCTAGCATAGCTCTGTTAGTAAAAAACTATCATTGTGCATAGTTAGATCCCTTTATAATACCAGCATAAGTAAGAAACTAAATCCAAAAACGTGCTAAGGTTTTATAAGTTATAAATTAAAAAAAATACATAAATGCTTTAAACTTTAAGTTAAATATAACCTACTCAATAGTCATTTGATGCCACACCACAGCCTTTGGAGTATCTACTGATGGATGTCCAGCTGGTTACAATGCAAATGACTTATTTTCTCCCATTTTCAGTTTTAGGTACTTCAAAGTGGGACAAAAACTGATTTGCCATCATTCTTGTTTTTTATTGGATTGTGTCCAGTCTTAGTGAGGTACTGGGGAAGCAGTTAGCTATAGTGTTTCTAATGCATTTACAAACAAAAACCCTCTTAGTTCTTCAGTTCAAGGCCTGATGAATATTTAACTAAAGTACATAAAAATCTTATAGAAGGTTACATAGGTTAATTAAAGGAATAAAAGGTGAACCCCAAATATTTTTATTGAATATTTTATTTGAAAATTTTTATTAGTATGTGTTTACATTACATGATTACATTCATTGTGTGGATTGGTACAGGTATAAAACACATCTCAATTCTTTCTCCCCCGTCCCCTCCAACTCTCCCTTTTAGTAAAATTTGCCAGCTTCATATTCATTTATTTATTGTGCTCATCAAATTAATTATCGTAAAATACAGACTAGACTAACTACCCCCAATATGAAACACATAAGGCAATTATAGTAAAGCAAGGTATGCTTCTAGATACATTGGCCATGGTGGATTACAGTAACATTTTTTAACTTTTTTTTTCTAGATTTTATTTTACATTTTATTTATGCATTGGATTTTATACACACGAAAAACTATGTGATATTTAAGCTTGTATTTGATTACCTAACATTATGGTCTCAAGGTAAAACCATTTTCCTACCATTTTTAGTGGACCCTTAGAGTTGTACCAGCTGACATACGAATAACGGGTTATGACTGGAATTTTAGTTTTGACTTATAACCAAGTTTTGAGTTATGTCCTGAATGCTGGCCGCTCATGCTTGCAGATGGTCTCAGCTACAGATTTAACTCTTAGAGTTCTAGAAGGACTCATTGCAACATTTTTTCCTGTGTGGAGTTGAGAAATCCTAGGCCAGTGCTCCTCAAGGACACTGAGATCTGCTTGTACACAGGAGAGAATTTGAAGGCTGTATAAAGGAACCTGACCCTTTAGTTGACAACCTGAGTGACAACCAGCCCTCAGGACAAATTCAGTTCACAAGTCAAGGGTCCACCATACTCGTTTATCCTTCTTTATGGAAAACTAGTACTCCATTGTGTATAAGTGTCCATTCATCTACTGATATACTGGCTGCTTCTAAGATTTTGCTATTATGAACTGTACTGTTATAAATATGAATATACATGTATTACTATAATATGACATCTTTGGGAAGAATCTGTACCTTAAAGGGGAATAGCTGGGTCAAATTGAATTTCTATTTTTGGTTTTTTGAGGAATCCCTATATTGATTGTACCAGAGAACAAGAAGCACTGTAACATATGCCTTTATCATTTTGTCACTAGCCCAAGGCCATGGAGGTTAATTTTCTGCAGAGTACTGGGATCTAGTCTAGGATATGATCATATACTGTATCTTTGAATTTTGACTTGCCTTCCTCAAAGTGAATGCTGTGGCTAGAAATATGAATGATCAGTGTAAACCTGTGACTTTGAACAACTCAACAGTATTGATATCTGAACAGATTGATAAGAACTCAGTGACTATAAAGCCTCAGTTCTGCATATTTAGAGCCTGGCAAATATTATAGTTTCCTATTTTCTGTAGTAACAAATTATCACAAACTTAGTCCCTTAAGAAGCATAAATGTATTGTCTGCACAAGTTAGATGCCTAAGTCTCAGGCGGCTAAATTCAAGGTGTTGGCAGGGCTGTGTTCTTTCTGGAATCACTCAGGGAGAATCTATTCCCTTACCTTTTCCAGGCAATCTGTATTTCTTGGCTTCTGACTTCCATCTGATGCAATACCACTGCACCTCCCTAATAAACATCCAGTCACCTAATAGTGAATTCTCACTTCCACTTTTAAGGATCATGTGATCACACTTGTGCCCATATGTGTAATCCAGGCTAATCTCCCTACCTTAAGACCTATTAACCATCTGTTTTTAGTAAGACATTTTTACAAGTTGATGAGACTGAAAGTTTGATTTATGAGAATATCAGTGATGTTTCAACTACTTATGAGAGCTGTCTGTCCTCAAAGTCTCACATGAATCACCTGTACAATTATGCATCATAATAAATGTGCAGACATTCTTTAGTGTTCCAGTAGTCCAGTTAGCCTTACCAAATTCCACACAGGATCTCAATATATGTATATGTATTTTATTACTGCATGGATTTGGCAGGTGATACTATGACTTTGAACAATTTAAACCCAAGATACTGGACAAAAAATAGTTTTTATTGGAGTTTTCTATTCAGGACTCTTTCTGAACATGTTTTAAAGGACTAGAGGTTATGAAAGGGAATATTTCAAAATAACTATCATTCCCACTTTCTATGTATCATGTTCAGCCAGACAGTGGCCTTATTTCTGACATATGCCAAGGCTGTTACCCCTCTGAATAGGACAGGCAATCAATTTAACAGACTTCTGTTCCTTGAGATTTTCATTGGTTTTTACCTAACCCTGACTTAATGGAAAAGACAACTGAAGATTTCCTTCAAAAACTTTAAATTACAAAAAAGTACTATAAGTAATAAACCTCTATATTATAAAGATGATAAATTCAACAATAAGACAATTAAAATGGCTGTGACGAATATCACCACCCTGCAAGGTAGTCTTTACAGATGAAGACGGGGTACACAGAGGCATAGCACCTTGCCAAGCACTACTGCAGAGTAAAGACCAAGGTGTTTCACTTCAAATTTTTACTCTTTTATATATTAAAGATATGTGGGGGCTGGAGAGATGGCTCAGTGGTCTAAAGCACCTACTTAGAACAAGCTTGGCAAAGCATTGGGGACCGCGGTTCAATCCCCCAGCACCACATGCCAGCCAGCCCGCCCCCTGGTGGGCTGAGCTGGCCACACACCTCTCTCTCTCTCTCTCTCTCTCTCTCTCTCTCTCTCTCTCTCTCTCAAATAAATAAATAAAAAAAACATTAAAAAAAAAAGATATGTGAATATGATCTAACGTGTTTCTGACAAAAATGACACAGAGCTGGGGGTGTAGCTAAATGGTAATGCCTCTGCATATGTCAGAAAGGAGGCTCCAGGTTCAACTGACAGCATAACAAAAATACTAATAATACATTAAAATGACCCGGATACTTTGAAAAATGTAGGTAATAGTTATATTTCAAAACTAGCATTTTAGTACAGTTGTGTAAAACATGAATTGATTATTCTTAAAATACTTTGCAAAGAAAATCACAGTAAAAAATTGATACCTAGGGGCCAGGGAGATGGTTCAGTGGAATAAGCGCTTCCTGGCAAGTGCAAGGGCCAGAGTTAAACCGGTGGTTCCAAAAAAAAAAAAAAAAAAAAAAAAAAAAGATTAAAAAAAAATTTTGATACCTATTTTAATTGTTTTGGATAAAAGGTTACTTAAAACTTCAGGACCTTCAACTTAGTTACATAGCTCCCTGAAATACAAGAGGAAAAAAAGGCAGCTTAAAGATGAATAATCAAAAGGGATTTAAAATAACTGAGGATGACCAGGGAAATAGCTCAGTGGTCTAAGCACCTGCCTGGCAAGTGCAAGTGCAAAGTCCTGAGTATCTCATGCCATGCTGGCCCTGCACCAAGCAGGCCACTGAGATCAGGTGGTGGTACACACCTGTAATCCCAGCACTGGGGAGGCTGAGACAGGAAGATCATTATGACTCTGATCTGTGTAGTAATCCCTGTACCAAATAAATACATAAATAAATAAATAATTTTAAAACATTAACTGAGGAAATGTAAACTTAAGTTACTTAAAAGTTGAAAAGCTCTACAGATTTTCATTTTATTTATCCTTCTGTTACAGGAGACGAGTATGATGTATGTGCCATTTGTTTGGATGAATATGAAGATGGAGACAAACTCAGAATCCTTCCCTGTTCCCATGGTATGAGTAATTACATACTGCTTTGAATTTACAAATATAGTAATTTCTATTTAGGTTCAGTATTGCATGGGAAGAGAGAAAATAGTCATTAGCACACCATAAGCTAGGGACTGTAGTAATTAGCAATCTCAAATTAAAGGGCAGAGGTTTATTTATAAAAATGAACAAACTCCTGTCTTGTCTCTACATGATGTGTGTATCATACACTGAATAAACATGAGATTCAGTATAATGCTGTCAACACGGTTTCCTAACTAAAGATGTGTACTTTACTTCAACAGCTTATCACTGCAAGTGTGTAGACCCCTGGCTAACTAAAACCAAGAAAACCTGTCCAGTCTGCAAGCAAAAAGTTGTTCCTTCTCAAGGTGATTCTGACTCTGACACAGACAGTAGTCAAGAAGAAAACGAAGTGTCAGAACACACCCCTCTGCTTAGACCTTTGGCTTCTGTCAGTACCCAGTCGTTTGGGGCTTTGTCAGAGTCGCACTCACATCAGAACATGACAGAGTCTTCAGACATTGAGGATGATGACAACGAAGACACTGACAGCAGTGAGGGAGAGAACGAAGTGAATGAACACAGTGTGGTGGTCCAGCTGCAGCCTGGTGGTGAGCGGGACTGCAGCCTAGCGAACACCGTGTGACTTTCATAAGGTGATGGGTTTACTTCCCTTGAAAACATTGATTTAGGTACATAATTTGATTTTTTTGCTCCTTTTAGAGACTTCTGTAGAAATAACTTATTTTTTAGTATTCTAGTTTGATCAGATACCAAAACAGGCTCTTACCTGGCACTTATCTGCAGGATTACACATCATTTTACTAATAAGTAATAACAGACTGGTGCTGTAACTCAGGCATCAAGGATGAAATGTAGCCAAAACATTTTTTAAATCTCAATACAGCTTGCGATTAAGACTTAGACCACAGTATGGAAGTGTTCTGCGTTTCACACATGAAATCAGTGCCATGGCCATCTAGCACGCGCTAAAGCCAGGGCTCACACCTCACTCATCACCTAAGAGCGAGTTGAGCATGTTCTGGTGTTTCTGCGTTGCCTTTGTTAGTGAGAAGCAACAAGGTATTTTACCATTTCTCCCCTCCTGTTCGCACCACACAAAAACTCAAAGCTATCCTTTTTCTTTCTATTCCCAAGCAGCCTGTAACTAGTGCAGATTTCAAAAGGGTTTTAATACTATAATGTTATGACTATGTTCAACAAGTAATGTCTTTGGATTCACAAGATTTCAGTATCCTTCAGGGTTTTGTTGGGATCAAAGCAAAAAGAAAATGCTGCATAAAATACCAAACTTCAGCAACTGTTAATACTCAGATTATATACCTCTTAATAAAGAGCATCGTATGCTAATTAGCCCTAACCTATGTACAGAAAAACTGTTCAAGTATTAGATTAAAACTAAATGCTTAACAGGACTAATGTATTAAAATGATGTATTATGAAAAGGTAAATTATATTATACAGCACTGTAACTATGTAGAAATTATAAAATGTATAATCAAACTACTAAGAATTTTTATATGGCCTTATATGAGGAGAGTTTGAATGTTAATAAAACTTTTCCACTTTAAAAAGTGTTCTACTGTACTGTTACCACATAGCTTTATATTGCTACGAAGGTATAATGAATGAGATCAGGTAAACATACACCACCTCAGAACCTTATATGAAGTAACTGCTCACAAGATTTAGGCTATCTAAATCTGAAAACAAAAACAAAAAACCAAAGTCAAGACTGCAGCCAAAATCATTCCAAAAATAAAGTGTGTTGTACATCTTTACAGTAGATATATATGCTGACATGGAAAAGTGTGAATAAAATAATATTACAGAAGCGTAAGTATACCTGATATATAAGCCCTTTGTTTTTTTAAAAAAATTAAATATATGTACATATACCCTAAGGTGAATATAAACATTATATTCTATAAATGTGCACTAATAAAATTTTTGAAACTTAATACACTTTGGAGGAAATGTAACAATAAAAGAGGAAATTGCATTTTCTGAATTTTCTTTTTAAAAACTTTTATAGTTAGGAAAAAAGGCATTTCCAGCTTGGGAAATAAAAAGTTGACTTCAACATGACACTCCTCATTCTCCTCTGTCCTTTTAAGATACAACACATTAAAAAAGAACATTAGTTTTACCATAGTATTAAGCAGAAGTTGTAATGTCACATAATTATATGGCCCAAACCTTTTTATACCTTTTGGTCACGTGCAAATTTTAATTTAATCTAAGGCAGGATATAAGGGCAAAATACTCAGTTTGCTATCTGGGGGATAAATATGTAATAAACATTAGCCTTTAAATTTTTTTTTAAAAAAGGAATAGTTAGAAGTCACTGTGTGTAGCTATATATTAAATGTTGTATTCCTTTACTCCTTAATCCATGTTTCAGGTCAAAGACCTGGTTGTTTTTCTCAATCAAAAACTGAGTTGTAAAAAAATTTGTGAAATGTTTTAACCACACTGGGTAGGGTTTTACTTTTTCTTGGTTGGTATGCACTTGAAATTTGTAATTTTGTTATAAATTAAGCTTTTTGAAAAGGATAGTAAAATTAAAATCCAGTATTTGAAACTCCTTAATTTAAAACTTTTCTTATTCAATAATGTTGGAAATCAGAAGTCCCCTGGAAACAGCCCGCAAATACTGCCTACAATGCTGTCCACTCACTACCTTCATCTGCCACTCAGTGGTGAGCATGTTCTTGTGACATTCTTCAGTGGCTGTCTACAGACAAAATCATTATTCATCTCACTTCTCTTACACCATAAGTTTTCCAAAATTATTTAAGTAATGCTATATAGTGGGAGATTCTAGTGTATTTTTATCTCCACATAAAAGCAAAATACACATCCATGTATTTAATTCTCTGTTAAAATTATGTTGGGGATGTGTGTCTCAATGATTACTTTCCGTTTACTATTTTGGTGATACAGTAACTCTACAGTGTTTCATTCTTCCACCCAATTCTCTACATCCTTCTTACCAGTAAGTTCTTTAAAGGTTTCACCATTTTGGCCAATGCTTAATTATTACCTTAACAGTTCATTACAACTCATGCATGAATGTGTCTGTTACTACAAAATTGCAAATCATCGTAACCTAATCAGTAAACTTTCATTTGTCCAAACCTTCTGTCCTCAGCACAAATCTTTTAACAGGACAAAAAACTGATATCGGACTTCTAGTGTTTGTTTTTCTAGAGTATGTTCAGATAAAGAAGCCCTAAATGTCACCTTAATAGTTTAATATTGTCAAAGTAAACAGGTTGCGTCATGTCTAGTGTATTTTAAGTAAGGAAAAAACAGTAATTCCTGTTCCCTGACCCACTCTTTCTCAAGGACAACATGTGGGCCACTTAACATGAACCAGAATGACTTTTCTGTAAAGAGATTTCCTGGGCTTCCATTTCTAGGATGGAACTCAAGTCAGCTCTAAGCTCTTCTTGACAGTTCATGGTAACGATAATTTGCCTAATAGCCCTAAACTTACATACTTAGTAAACCTGAATAGCACTGATGAACTTACGAACACTACTGTTAAACTATTTAGTCATGATAAACATGCTACTCCAAAAGCCATAATGTGTAATAGCATCTCAGTTCTCTTCAGTGCTACCTAAGCAATCTTCTGTTCTTATGTGGGTGAATCCCAGCAGACAGAGCCTGCCAACACAGACTCCAAATCCAAAGTCATATGACAGTTCAGCACTGAAGAATCCACAAAAGTACAGAAACACTTCTTGGTATTACCACCTCTTCCTGCTTACATTTAAAGATTTCACATGAAGGAACCAACAAAGGAAAATATTTTCTAGCAGAAAGTCAGTTTTCTTCACGTAAGCATGAAGATGAACCTGTAATAACTAAATGCTTTTAGTAGATCAAAGCTTATTAAAAAATTCCTACGCACTAGTCTTATGCGTGCAGCAGATTTTGGCCTGTTCTTTATACCCCCCCGTGTCAAAAATCAACAGTAAGCTGACAATTTACATAAACAACAGGAGTCTAGAGTATTTGGTTGGAATAAATTTATTTCATCTGTCTGTAAACAAGGTGTTTAATAGTTATGGCATTTTTTTAAATGCATATTAAATCAGATGAGTTAGACTGTATCCCAGATGTAACAAAGTGCAGGGAAAGAAATGGACAAATCAGCAACAAGATTTGTTTTTAAATCTGTACATTATCCACAAGGCCCAAACAATAGAAGCAAATACTAGAATGTCCCTAAAGTAGTGCCATTCAAAAGAAACCCTTAATAGGTCAGTTAAAATCCATCTCACAACAGCAACATTTCATTTTAACAATAGTATGGCACAGAATACATATGAAAAAAATTCATCACAAGACAGCCAAGTCCACAATAATGCAACTTCATATAAAAACTCAAGCTGCAAATAAAAATTGGTCCTATGAAGAACAAACTGGACACACTCCAGGTGGTTATGTTGGGATACCTAATGTCCATAATGGCAGCCTTTATAACTTTACTAAAGAGTAGAGCTGGTGTGCAAAGAAAAAGACAGGAACAGAAATCTGAGCTGTTGCAACGATGGAATGTCCCTGGGGATCCAATCAGTATGGTTACTATAAGGTCATGGGAGGAAGTGCCTTTTGCTCTTGTCTTGCAGATGCACTTTCATATGTCCTATGACGCTATGAAAGAATGGTAAGTGCAACCACAATACTAAAAGCAAACTATGCAGCTCTCAATAGCTCATCAACAAAGGGGGTATTAAATGGTTAAGTAAACCAGGCACTGCATTAAAAGGAAATAGGATGGAAGCAAACCAAATACCATATGGGCAAAGAAAGTGTTGAGGAAAGAGAGTGAAGGAAAGATGCATGCACTTTTTCCTCCCAACCATGCGCTACAAAAGGAAGACTACATGAGCCAAGTAAATGCTCAAAGTGCTGAAAAGACACTGATCAAATTAGAGATTGTACAACCGGCACCTTGCTTAATATTAACTTATTTTAGTAATCAATATCCCATTAATTGCTAAGACAAAGTGATGCCCAAGTTGGCATGCCCCCTCCCCCCAATTTCAAGGTATCATGCAAATCATTATTGTGCTGCAATTATGTTGCCAGATAAAGGTTGGTTACATACAGTGGTTAACATACAAATGATCCATTGGGCAAACAGGAATCATGACATTAGAAAATAGGTAAAGAAAACTAGCTACCATCTATAGTCTGGCAGCACTGTGACCATAACTGGGGTGGTGATGAAGACAGTTGCTAGGTAGATGGGGAGAGGCTGCTTACACATCAGACCTCCTCAGGTATAAAGCGAGTTCGTATGCTTTCTTGTTAAGTGTGCCTCCGTGGACACCTTCCTTTCCCATGACTATAACCAATGCTGGAGTATACAAGGAAACAAAACAAAAGTGAACAGAATTATTTTTAAGAGGGGCAGAAAGAAAGACACCTTTCCCCACCAACAGAGGGATACAAAGGAGACACAGGTTCATACCCCATCACCCTGCATTGCTAATAAAGTTTCCAGAATTAAGACTTAAGCTTACAGCTAGGAAAGTTTAAGAGCAATTTTCCCCTAATACTTAACAGTCTGCCTAGCAGCTAGAACCCAGAGTCTCTCAAGTATTTTGCCATTGAGTATGCCTTCTTATTCAATCCGCCTCCATGGACCCCTTCTTTTCCCATTACAAAGACCAAGACTGAAAGAGAAAGAAGAAAAGTGTTTCAAAAGAAGTGTTAATCAAGAAAGTCACGCAAGTTTTAGCAGACAGATCCCTGATTAATATAAGTTAACATTAAGTTAGTTTTCTATGAACTGTCAAGCACTGAAGTCAATTAGGTCTCCAAAATGGAGAACTTTCAAATTAGTAATATACTAAGAACAATACAGTTAACTGCTGACTGCATTTTAGAAGCCTATCATGCAGGAGCAAAGTTCCATACAATTACCTTTATGTTAGCTTTGGAGGGAAAAGCAGTAATTTATCTACAATTTTAGGGTAAAAATTCTGGTTTACATGACATATATGTATTGTTTGGCCCAAAAATTACTATAAAACTCAGGTAATTATCCACAAATTTAGTGTGCTTGCTAAGTATAAACTAAGTCTTATCAATAACACTATAAATATGCCTGTTATTTCCAAAGGAAAATAAAAATTAAACAATCTGAGAAAAGGTCAGGTGAAAACTAAGTTGTATGCATATTGATATTTTCACTACGATAAATCATGATTTTTTAACTGACTCTAAACTCATGATATAGATTTACTATTCCTAATACCAGGTGATTTTGTGATGCAATTAAAAACCTACCCCCAAATATATGTACAAGTGTATGTCAGATTTTGCACTCACTGCCACTAGATGGCAGTAGTGCTCTGTAACGTGAAAAATCTCAATCTGGTTTCACATCATGTGGTTAAATGCATTTTTTTAGCCTAGGTATCTGTGAGCACCGCTAATGTTTAGAGACTTGGATACTATTTCAGAGTCATCTAATTTTCCTATACGTATCCATGAACATCAACTCACACCAGAATAAAAGCAGCTGTTAGGATAATCGCAGGGGACTGATAAAACCAGAGCATGAACCTGCAGCTTCAAGTCCCTTCACCTGGTAGAGCTGTTCTTAAAATCAGATGCACCAAGTTTGCCAAATAAGGCTACAGAAGCCCTGCTTTATTTTTTAAACATTTATACAAGTTAATGTATTTAATTATATGATAGGTCAGTCAGATATCATAATAAAATTCAGTTTCAAGTTTCTTTTGAAAAAATGAGACTTCTTTGGTGTAGTAAGAATTTCCATAATGCTGACACCAGATTTAAAGTATTGTAGGGCCTGGGAGATGTCTCAGTAGAATAAGTGCTTGCCTGACAAGCGCAAGGACCTGAGTTCAATCCCTGGTTCCACCAAAAAAAAGAATAAAATATTTTAATAAAGGGACAACTTACTCCAAAACCATAATCTAATTATCCCTCTCTTCTCTAGCAATATTCCTAATAGAAAAA